GCCACCGGAGGCGAAAACCCCAATAGCCTGGCGATCTACCAGCTGCCCACCCTCGACCCGGTGTTCCTGGGCGACTGCCAAGGTCACAAGGACTGGATTTTTGCTATCGCTTGGATGAGTGACACCGTGGCCGTGAGTGGCTCCCGCGATGGCACCGTAGCACTGTGGCGGGTGGACCCTGACATGTTCAGTTCCAGCGATGTGGGGCTTCCTGTGTATACACACATCCATCCAAACGACATGGAGGCCATCCCCAGAGCAGTCACCAGTCCTGGTAACCGCAAAGTAAGAGCCCTAACTTTCAACAGCAAAAATCAGGAGCTGGGAGCCTTGTCCCTGGATGGCTACTTCCACCTGTGGAAACCTGAGAGTTCCCTGACCAGGCTTCTGTCCATCAGGCTGCCCTACTGTAGAGAGAACCTGTGCCTGACCTATTGTGATGAGTTTTCCCTTTATGCGGTGGGCTCCCAGTCTCACCTTTCCTTCTTGGATCTGCGCCAGCGTCTGCGGAATATGATAACTGTGTGTACCCGAGATGGCGGCACAGGTGTGCGCTCATTGAGCTTCTACCAGAACATGGCTACCGTGGGTACGGGCCATGGCTCACTGCTCTTTTATGATGTCCGTGCCCAGAAGTTCCTAGAAGAGAGGTCTTCAAGGAGTCCACACTCTTTTCCCAAACCCACAGGGAGAAACCTGAAACTCAACTGCGGCAGAGGCTGGCTCAACCATGATGATTTCTGGGCGAACTACTTTGGTGACATGGAGGAATTTCCCAATGCACTGTACACCCACTGCTACAACTGGCCCGAGATGAAACTTTTTGCTGCTGGGGGACCACTACCTTCAGGTCTTCATGGGAATTATGCGGGCCTCTGGAGCTAAGAATTGTTGCCTCCTTGTCAAAAGTAGGCAGATTAACTTTTCAGTTTAGCCTAATAGCCCTTCTTGTTGTGGCATTTGTGATTTTAACTCTATGTGTCTTGTCTTCCAGGTGGAACTGGCCCAACTTAACCCCACACACTTTACTTGTAAGAAGAAAGAAGGGATGGAGCCTCAAAAGTTGACTTTAAGACTTCCACTCCTTTCCAACACCACCATACTCTCAACTTTTCATACAGATACTTTGGATTAATCCTTAGTTGTGTTCAGTGTTTGAAAAATTTGCATATTCTCTGTCTATAAGGAGAGCCAGTCATGGTCTTAGAGTTAGATACATTTTCTTTTTTTCTTTGCCAATATTAAAACAATATCATTTTAGTTATTTTTCATTGCAAATATATGGTATAGTAAGAACATTTTCTAATAAACAAGGTTTGGAATCGGTTCTAGAGAGCCAACCATAGTTTTATAGCATTGGTCCTATTGGAAGAAACATTCCAAGTAGAATACCTAGTTTTGGAACCATTTCATTGCAAATTGTGATCATAGTGTACATAGTTTGTATATTGTTGGTACTAGAATGCTTTTTTTAGATTATTCTCTGGAAAATGTTGTCATAAAAATCTTGTGTTTCTATCAAAATCTCAATTGGTTAAGACATTTTAGCTATTCGGTAGTTGAGCTTACTTGAAGGCTCAAAATTAATCTGAAAAACCAAATCAATCTTTTTATCTTTCAAGCTTTGTGTTTATGCAATCTGTCCTTAAATTGATAGATTAATATGTATTTTTCTACTTGCCTTGTACTATCAAGACTTGTAAATATGTTTAAATATTTCTGGTTGGAGAACTTGTACAGAATTTCAGTGCCATCATTCAAAGTAAGGATTCTAAGTATATGTGTAGAATGTATGGCAGACTGGGCAGAAATATGCTAATCCAAGATATAGACAGTATATCTTTGATATGTCTATTTTTAATACATATGTTATATCTGAGCATATTTAAAATTTTGCATTTCTGCGTATGAGTTAAGTTACAACATAAAAACTTGCAAAAATGAAAAATGAGCCTATTCAGCTTACTCTGAAAGAAACCTTTCAATATATAAACTCCAAAGTAATAAGAATTTATTTTGTGAATTTCAAATATTCGTAACTGAAGCAGCATACATATATTATTAAAAGTAGTGATTTTCCTACTCTCAATGTGATAATATAATAAACACAGGACATTTTTTTCAAGAGCCGCTAGAGATTAAAAATTAACAGGTTATGTTGAGGAAATGAACTTCCAGGCTTAAACACAAATAGTGGAAGGTTTTACAAACATGCTGTGTACATTCCAGTACATTGGAAGTGAGAAAGTATATTGGGTCTTCCTCAAAACTTGCAAGTTTGTGTTAACCTTGGATTGGAATTTCGTAATGATTTCTTTGCCTTAAATGTTTGGCCCTCATGCTGCCTTTGTGTCCATACACTACGTACTATTCAGTCACAAACCTGAACCAAGTAATACAATGAAGGGTCTAAAAGTGAGTTAAGAAATACAAAAAGGCAGCTTTTGTTTATAGAGATTATCGGTATTATAAACTCTCATAGGTTTGTCTTATAAAATTATATAGTTTGTTACATATCAGTAAAATGTATTTGCATGCATGTATGTGTCTCCAATTCAGTTATAAAAAACTTGAGAGTAAGAAATGTATTTTTTCTCATTTCTCCACAAATGCCTAGTGAATCAAAATAATCAGTTATTATTTATTGAATGATTATTTTTTTCATTGTAAATTCACTGAATTTTTTGGAGACCTAAAGTTCAAGGTTTTAAATAAATACTTATTGTTGAATAACATAGACTCTCCTGTGTACTCCTGTTTTTCTTAAATTTTTCCTAATTCATTTCCAAGTCAGGCCAGGTACTTTATGCATTCATGAATTTACTAGTATGTACTTTTGAGACAAAGAAGGAAATGTATAAATTTCATATACCACTGGAAATCAGTCTTGTAACATGCAAACACTTAGATTTTAGTATTTCTTTAAAATATTTTTTGTCAGAAAGGCTTGAATATTTGAAAAAGTTTTACAGTTTTTTTAACTTAAAAATATATTTGCCAAAATTTTCTGTTACTTAACAACTTAAACAAGTATATACTGTGAATCTTCTTATAAATGCTAGGGCATTTTTATGGTGTTTTGTAATTGTTGTGGGGCATTGTGAAAACATTTTCAGAAGAAATATCACTTTATGTTGGATGGAATTTTAAAGAAAAATGCCAGACACGTCTATATTCTGATTTCTTCCCTGGCTTGGTCCTTACCATTATTAATGGCTTAGTCAAAATTTTATTATATATTATAGTATATATTTTTGAATAAATAACTGAACAATGATTATATTCATATTTTATAGATTTCCACTTAAAGTATGTAGTTCTGACATAAAGTGATCTACAGAACTAAAAATAACATTATAGACTGTGATTGTGAAAAAATTTTAATAATGCCATGCCAATATTCCAGGTAACATAAATCCAATTCATTTGAAATTTATACGGGAATGCAACTGTATGCACAAATTTCTTATCACTGCTGCCTGAAAACCTTTGTATTCATTTCCCATGTAGATTTCTGTCTCAAAAGTTTATTTTTCTCACCTTAACCCTTTGGAATTATTTAATTTCTGTTTTTTTAAGCATCAACAAAGGATTTACTAGCAAGAATAGCAAATGAAACAAATCGAGGTGAGTTCACTGTAAGAAATTCATCTGTTAAATATACTCTAGCATTTATTATAAACAGTTTAATTCTTCAGAGGTTGATTTTTATCTGCCTTTATTCAGTGTTGAATCAGTTGTCAAAAGTTTCTATTAATTGCTAATTCAAAGAGATTTTCAAAAGCAATTCACAAAGCCCTCCAACCACCCTAGATGTTTTATTGATAGCTTCCTAATCTCTCCAAGTATTAGGTAATCCAGCTAAATGTAGGTGATATTTAAAAACAACAACAACAAAAAACATGCCACTGTGTGAACTGCTCAGTGATAAAGTTCATTGAGAACTCCATAGACTAATATGAAGCAGAGGCTGCATAGGTCACAGGTGTTTGCTGTAAGGGATGTTATTTTTAAATCTTCTCAAAGGACTTCCAATAAGTATTGCCCACTACCGGACTGCTGCAAACCAAGAGACACCTAGCATTGGAATTGGCATCAATGAAAGGACAGTGTGTTTTTAGGAAGGAGAGTGCCAGAAAACAGGTTGAACCTTAGGAAACCAGGATCTTTAACTGCTAGGTTTATTTTTTTACTTGGTCTTTGCTTCTTATGTCCTTTACCTATTTTTTTTCTTTTAAATTCTCTGCCTTCCCATACACAACTAAGCATTTCTTTATATATCCACTGTGAATGTTTTGTTACTATTTTTCTTAAGGCACTTGTCAGATTGTAATGCAGTTAATTGTGTGGGAAGCTTAACTGTCTTTCCCTTCTGAACCTATATGGTACTTGGGTGTCCAGTAATTTTTAGAATTAAACACCAGATGTGAGACTGTATACTTACATAATCCTAAAGAATTGACCAAAAACTTATATTGATGTAGCAGTAATATCTGTCTAGGTGCTTGATTCAGTTGTGTTCAGACTGTATCACATTGGACACATTAACACATATTTTAAAACTGAGAGATGTTCAAATCTCAACTTAGACTTACTGTATCAGAATTTCCTTGTCACAACACCATTTTATTTGAGTGTTTTCAAGTTAATCCATTCAAAAAAATAAGACAGCAACAAAAATAACATCTGTCTTACAGATATATGGTGTATCAGAGAAGAAAGATAGCTAACTCATTAGTTACCAAACCCCACAAATATATATAGAGAGAGATTTTTTCTTTTTTTTAATTTCTATTTTTTTATTATTCATATGTGCATACAATGCTTGGGTCATTTCTCCCCCATCCGCTCCCTTACCACCCACTCCACCCCCTCCCTCTCCCCCATCCCCTTCATTACCACCCACTCCACCCCCTCCCTCTCCCCCCCACCCCCTCGATACCTGGCAGAAACTATTTTGTCCTTATCTCTAATTTTGTTGAAGAGAGAGTTATATATATAGATTTATGAGTCTATACTTAGTGCAATGAGAATATGGGAAGACTACTAATTAATACTACCAGGTATGGTTATAGAGAGATCCCCAAAGACGTGTGCTTCACATGCATGTGGAAAATAAGAGTGGAGAAAGAAAACCAATATTGGCTTGAAGGTATATTGTGGGTGGAATGTATGGGCACATATCCATATCCAGAGCAATTATAATTTGGTCTCATGGAATTTGAAGTTACTATGAAAATGTCTGGTTGCCAGGTAGAAATGTGGATCTGGAGTTCATAAGAGTGGTGTGTGAGAGAAATACAGGTATTAGACTCATCAATAAAAAAAAAACTGGTATTTGAGAGAAGCAGAGAGGAGTTAATATCACAAAAGTTAGTTTTTCTGATTTCATTACAAAATTCACCTATCTTTAGCAGTTCTGCACATGGACAAACATATGATTTACTATATGCCTTGTGCATAGTAGGTAATTAATAGCTTGTAGGTAGGTGGCCAGATAGAATGATCATTTAGTGAATATTAAGCACTAGTTAGTAGCCCCAAGAAACAATATTTCATCTTTTCAGTTGTTAATGATCAACTTTTAAATGTCCCTAATGCAATCAGATTAACCAAAGAAGGTAAAGGAAATCTGTCAACTGTTGTGTTTTAAGTGAATTAAAAACCTGTGTTTTGGTTAGATGTATTTTTGCATCCTTTATAGCATATAGGCCATTCTACATTTGGGCAAGAAGAAAGCTAAATATTGATGATAACCTTCCTTACAAATGACTTTTTGTTTTTCCATTTTGGAAGTACAGTCCACTGAAGCAAACACATTGATGATGTCAATGAGAGTAATGGTGCTATTTTCACCCGTTCTAATGCCATTTTTATGCCATTCT